CCTATCCTCTACTATCCCCCCCCTCCCATCTTCTCTCTCTACCCCATCTACTGTAATTCATTTCTCTCCTTGTTTTTTTTCCCATTCCCCTTATAACCTCTTATATGTAATTTTGTATAACAATGAGGGTCTCCTTCCATTTCCATGCAATTTCCCTTTTCTCTACCTTTCCCTCCCACCTCATGTCTCTGTTTAATGTTAATCTTTTCATCCTGTTCTTCCTCCCTGCTCTGTTCTTAGTTGCTCTCATTATATCAAAGAAGACATTTGGCATTTGTTTTTTAGGGATTGGCTAGCTTCACGTAGCATAATCTGCTCTAGTGCCATCCGTTTCCCTGCAAATTCCATGATTTTGTCATTTTTTAATGCAGAGTAATACTCCATTGTGTATAAATGCCACATTTTTTTTTATCCATTCATCTATTGAAGGGCATCTGGGTTGGTTCCACAGTCTAGCTATTGTGAATTGTGCTGCTATGAACATCCATGTGGCAGTATCCCTGTAGTACGCTCTTTTAAGGTCTTCAGGGAATAGTCCAAGAAGGGCAATAGCTGGGTCAAATGGTGGTTCCATTCCCAGCCTTCCCAGGAATCTCCATACTGCTTTCCAAATTGGCCACACCAATTTGCAGTCCCACCAGCAATGTACAAGTGTACCCTTTTCCCCACATCCTCTCCAGCACTTGTTGTTTGACTTCATAATGGCTGCCAATCTTACTGGAGTGCGACGGTATCTTAGGGTGGTTTTGATTTGCATTTCTCTGACTGCTAGAGATGGTGAGCATTTTTTCATGTACTTGTTGATTGATTGTATGTCCTCCTCTGAGAAGTGTCTGTTCAGGTCCTTGGCCCATTTGTTGATTGGGTTGTTTGTTTTCTTATTGTTTAATTTTTTGTGTTCTTTGTATACTCTGGATATTAGGGCTCTATCTGAAGTGTGAGGAGTAAAGATTTGTTCCCAGGATGTAGGCTCTCTATTTACCTCTCTTATTGTTTCTTTTGCTGAGAAAAAACTTTTTAGTTTGAGTAAGTCCCATTTGTTGATTCTTGTTATTAACTCTTGTGCTATGGGTGTCCTATTAAGGAATTTGGAGCCCGACCCCACAATATGTAGATGGGAGCCAACTTTTACTTCTATCAGACACAGAGTCTCTGATTTGATATCAAGCTCCTTGATCCATTTTGAGTTAACTTTTGTGCATGGCGAGAGGAGGGGATTCAGTTTCATTTTGTTGCATATGGATTTCCAGTTTTCCCAGCACCATTTGTTGAAGATGCTATCCTTCCTCCATTGCATGCTTTTAGCCCCTTTATCAAATATAAGATAGTTGTAACTTTGTAGATTAGTCTCTGTGTCCTCTAGATAATAGGTTTTCTTTACTGTCTGTTTCCTAAACAAATAGAACTAAGTTTTACACAGAGATACCATTTATCTAGGTAATGTGTCCCAGCAGGTAATTGGTACATTTCCTCCTCAAAATCAAATGCCCTTGCAATATCCAAGTTGTTGCAAAATGAGTAGAATGTGTGGACCTTGGGGATCTCTTGGCACTGGCACCTCCTGCTCTCCTTGAAGCCTTTTGAGGGCCAGGTGTTGCAAACGCGTTCCACTGGGACCTCATTGCTTGTCACCTTTTTTCTTACTCAAATCATAAAATTCTTTGTTTTCCTTACATTGCATTTGGATGGCCAATAACTCCCCCAAATTAATTTAAGTATCTTGCCTTTTCAATATCTACTACTCCTAAGCTGGAAACAAAGAATGGAATGGTATAATTCACACAATTATAGCCTCTGCCCCACCTACCTTGCGGCTTCAACACTACCTAGAACTCCTATCTTTATCCAGCCATTACTTATTCTTTCCACTAATGTGATTTCAAATCAGCCTTCTTTTAAAATGTTAACTCCACCAAGCCCCGTTTTCTCCTCTGCTGCTATCCCTCACCTCTGCAGATGATTACTGGCTCCTATTCCAAAGAAAAATTAGAAGCTTTTGGGCAGGAATGTCTTCATTTCCCCCATATTTGGAATTGTGGATCACTTCTTTTTTTTCTTTTTTTTTTTTTTTAAGAAAAACTTTTCCTTTGTTTCCCCAATCAATTCTCTCTCCTGATTTTCCTGTCATCCCTTTGCATTCCTCATCTCAGACTGGTATGTCATCTGCTTTATCTTGTTTTCCCCTTAAGGATTGTTTTTTTTTTTTCTGCAACTGAGTCCAACTGAGTCCCTGTTTCCTACTCATTTCTTGAATGACCTCATTTTCTCTGTTGTCCGTGAAGTTACCATCTCTGATTGTAACTCTCAAATCTGTATCGCAGATTTCTCTTTTGAGCTTGGATAACTTTGAATTTGATGTTAAACTTTTGCAAACCTATTCCAGGTTAAGCTCAGGTGATTGATTTATGATATTCTAGCCATATAAAAATAGGATATTGTGATATTTGAATTGTGGGTCCAGATTTGTCAGTATTTACCAGGGTGAGAATCCTTCATCCAAAGTGCTTGTAATGAGAAGTGTTTCAGATTTCAAAATATTTTTATGTACTTAATATGAGATATCTTGGGGAATGGAACCCAAATCTAAGTACAAAATTCACTTATGTTTCATATATACCTTAAACATGTAATCTGATGCTACTTCTATACAATATTTTAAGGCTTTTTCACATGAAACAAAGTTTCTTAGTGTGGAATTTTGCACATGTAGTGGTGGTTGGTGTACAAAATGTTGTGGATATCAGGTCATTTCTGATTTTGAATTTTTGGGTTAAGGACTTTCAACCTGTATCTTCAGGAGAATTTCACTTGAGTTTCTCAAATAAACATCAAATATGATGTGTTTCAAAAATCTGTCATCCTCCTTTCCAGTTGTGCTTTTTTTTTTCCTATGATGTGTTGCAGGGAGGGGCAGGCTCCAATTGCCATCTTTATGTCTAATTCTGGACATTTCTTCCTCCATTCCCATATACAAAATTAGTTGATTATCCAAATGCTGTGGATATTGTCTCTAAATATCCCTCAAATTATCCAAATTCTCCCAATGCACACAAAATCTTTCCTCCTCTTTGCATCTTTCTCACTTGAGTTACTAATTAATCCAAATGATTCCTCTATATTCAGAGAAATTATCTCACTCTAATCCTATCTCTACCTTGAAGCCAGACTAGTTATTTCTCAACCCTCAATCTATGAAACACTCAACTTAAAACTTTTCAGTGACTCTACATTATCTTCAGAATACAGAACAAGCTGTTAACATGTCTTACAAATGTTTCATGATTTGTCCCCTGAATCCTACCCCAATCTCTGCCTTCTAGCCCTACTTCCAAATCCTCAACATGCCAGGCTCCCTCTCATTTCTGGGACTTCCCATATGCTGTTTCCTCTGTCTGAAATATTCTTACGAATCTTCAACTTGAGCTCTTTGTTTTCATCCTAAGACATAATTTACAAAGTCTTTCCTAATAATTTGAGTGACATTTAGTTGTCACTCCTGTGTACTCCAATAGCATCCTACACCATGACCTAGGTAGCATCAGTTAGAGCTCATCTACATTTCCCCTATACTGCAAGTTTTATGAGAGATGAGCCATGTCTGTTTTACATTTCTATTCCTGGTGACTGAAACACACTGATGTTTAGTAAAATTGTGGGGGAGAAAAGATCTCTCACCCACTATGAAGTTCACAACTGAGAGACCAATAATAAAAGAGATGTTAACGAAAGAAAAGCATATACATTTATTTAATACGTTTTATGTGACTTAGAAACCTTCAGAAACAGACCTAAAGAGACAGAGAAAAAATTATTTTTATAGACAGTTGTGCAGAATTATGATCTAATGGTAATAAGTCAGGGAAAGTTTAGAAAAGGCTGTTTATTCAGACACTTCTCTGTGTCTTCAGAGATAAGCATATTGGTTTCCCTTGGGTACATGATAGGCACCTCTGAAACCAAGGTTTTATGAACTACTTTAGAGGAAGGTCAGAGAAATCTTTTATGGACTTCTTTAGGGGAGAAACGGGAAGGGGAAGATAACAGAGAACTTTGTACTTCTGTCTTCTCAAATGTCTAGGTACCATATTTTGTGATAACATATCCTGATCCCTATCAGAATTTTACTGAATGAATGAGTATAAATAATCAATTAAATTTCTATTTTTTTTTATCCTCATAGATTCTGGCTTCAATCATCTATTTATGGTGAATTCTATGTCAGCAGGGTTTCTTATCTCGTTAACATCTATACAAGATTGGCTTGAGCCCACATTTCTGTCTGTAGAAATTTAGATCTGACCTGGAAATTTTGTCAAGTTTCTAGTAGGTTTTTCTTCTCATGAATACTTTATCCTCAGCTCTTATGACTATTATCACATTTCTGCATCAAGTGAGCCCAGATATGAAACTCAGATCTTTTCACAATTTTCAAAGAGCCTGGATTCATCCATTTTCTGTTGCCAACAACACAATACCACAGACTGGGTGAGTAATAAAGCAAGGGGGTCTATTTTGGCTGGTGGTTTTAGAGGTGCAAGGTTGAAGGGCCCCATCTGGTGTGGGCCTTCCTGCTGACAGAGTCCTAAAGTGATGCAGGGCTTCAAGACACATGGGGTGGGCATATTCATATGTGCCTCTTCTGGTCTTCCTCCCTCTTCCTATAAAGCCACCAGGATTCAATCACAGAGGGGAAGACTTCAACCTAATGACGAATTCTAATCATATCTCAAAGGCCCTACCTCTAAACCTGATAGATGGATTGTTTCTACTCTGTTAATGCCTCATAATGGGGATTTAGTTTCAACACATGAAGCTTTGGTGCACACATACCACATCTACAATCCATAGCTAAAGCTTACATGTAATAATCATAAGAGTGGGAAACTACTGAAACAAGGGACTGGAGGTTATGGCGGGATAGAAGGAGGAACTTTATGTTTCAGCAATGCAAGCAGTTTCCCATGGAACTTGGTTATCACCAGGGGTCTCTAACTGATCCATTTCAGTGATGATTTCACTTCCTTTTCTGTGTTCTTTGATCTATGTGTCCTTTCTCCATCTCTTATAAAGGCAAATTCCTTTTTGCCTCATGCACAACAATTTAGCTGCCCTGTGACCTTGCTGTTCTTCTCTGAGCCTTGCCTATCTCACATTTTACCTTAAACAGTTTGTTAAGAAATATGATCTGTCAAGGAAAAGTTCTTCCTTAAAATCATGCTTTTTCCCATCTCATTGTGTTTTTTTTTTGTTGTTGTTGTTGTTGTTGTTCATCCCTTCATTCAACAAATATTTACTTAAGTATATAATGTGCTAGATACTCTATGCTGGGTGATAGGAACACAAAAGTTAATCCACGGGTCCTTACCCTGAAGCACTCCGTCTTGGTGGGGAAGCCACACCCTGTCCTAGGAAGGTATTTTATAGTACTTAGAGAACACAGTGGAGGGAATGGCTGTAACAGATCTGGGTGGTAGACTGCTACCTCTGTAGGTGTGGGGAGGGTTTTAGTCAGATATTTCATTGCTGAAACCAAAGGATTCGACACAAAACAATAGAGGAGGAAAGGTTTATTTGGGGACTTATGGTTTCCAAGATCTCAGTCTCTAGACAGCTGATTCTATTGCTCTTCCTGAAGTGAGACACATATCACAATGGAAGATTGTGATGGAAGAAAGTGAGTCAGGACATGGTCACCAGGAAGCAGAGAGAAATTTCGCCTCTCACCAAGGACAAAATATATATACCCAAAAGATGCCCCAATGACCCACCTCCTCCAGCCACACACTACTTGTCTGTGGTTACCATCCAAGTAATCCCTACTAGGGGATTAAATTAGGTTAAATCTCCCACAACCCAATCATTTCACCTCTAATTTTCTTGCATGAGCTTTTGGAGGACAATTCATATGTAAACCATAAAAGGGAGTGACTATGCCATTGAAAGGAGGTAGTTCTTCTAAACTATTTCAAAAAACTTTGGTTTAGAAAGACAGGAAGTTGTTGTGGTGGTCCTCAGATAAAAGGACAAGTCTGGGTGGTGTCAGCTCATCCATTCTACAGCTAGCTCAGAGCTCTCTAGAGGAAGGGATGGATAACCTCGGGCAATAAAGTTCCATAAACTCTTTTCCGATGTTGGCTTTGTAGACGCAATCAGGATTATGGTACAGTGGAAATTCCAAGAGACTAGATATGTCTATTGTACATCTATCTTCCCCACTAACTAGAACTGAGCAAACTGTTCAATTTCTTTGACTCTCTTTGCTATTAAATAAGAGGAAAAAATCTTTTACTCTTTTGCAATCCATTGTGAGGACCAACTGAGAGAAGGTCTGTGGAAGTTGTTTGAAAGAAATACATAAATACAAGCTATTCATCAATATTAACTAAATTTCCAATCCCCCAAATCCAAAGGCCTAATGTTCTCTCTGATTTGCGATGCTGACTCACAATAGGGGGCAGGGTTTGGAGGTTCACCCAATTGGACCAGGGGAGTATGACGGGAAAGAAAGAGGGATGGGACTTGGAAAGACAGTATTAACATTCCCATGTTCATGTATGCATACACAACCATTGTAACACCATATCATGTACAACCACAAAAATGGGAAGTTATAGTCCAAGTATGCATTTCCAAATACATTCTACTGCCATGTCATGTATAACTAAAATAACAAATAAAAATTTATTTCCAAATTTTTGTAGGATAATATATTAATGTTCAGAAATTAAAATCTGCAAGGTTTATGACCTCAAAGTTCTAAGCCTTAAAAAGACTTCATGCATAGGGGTATAGTAGATAAATAAAATTTTATAGCCAACTTGCTTTTAATTTTATATTTACATGTACTTGGCTACAATTCTAAATTAACCAGGTAACAGAAAGATAAGCCACAAGAAAACTGAATCTTTTTTTTTTTTTTTTTTTTGGTAACAGAGATTGAACCCATTGAGCCACATCCCCAGCCCTATTTTTGCATTTTATTTAGAGACAAAGTCTCACCAACTTGCTTAGCGCCTTGCTTTTCCTAAGGCTGGCTTTGAACTTGAGATCCTCCTGCCTCAGCCTCCCAAGCCATTTGGGATTATAGGTGTGGGCCACCACACCCTGATCCACATTTTTAATACTGACTCTGGTTTCTATTTTTGGTCCATTCAATCTGATGGGAGCATTTTGCTTGGAGACTTCTCCTTTGACTGTGTGTTTTAATAACAAAAGCCAGCTTTCAAATTGTGAGTCAAGTTACAAAACAGCAAACTGTAACGTTACTGGAAGGCCACACAGGCAAAAAGGCAAACAGATCTAAAGAAAGAATCTTAAAGCGTTGGCAAGCTCTGCTCTGAAACTGTTTCAAGAAACATTGCCAAAGGTACAATGCACCTTTAAAACAGAAAAGGTTGTGGGATAAAAATGAAATAAAAAAGTACCATAATTAATTGACATTGATGAGTATATTACTCTGAAAAAACATTTTATAGCAACATATTAGGCTTAGGAATTATTTACTAATAACCTTCTTTTCTCAAATACAGAATGAATTATTTGCAATTTTACTTTTTTTGGTAAAGATTAATATAATAAGAAAAAATCCACGTTTTAATCAGCCATCCTTTTAAAATTAAAAACTAATAGCAAAGTTCCTTTTAATGAGCAACATTATAATGAGTAGAATTTAAATATGACTTTTTAAATTAAGAGTTTTGTATAAGTCTGTTATAAATGTAATTTGGAAAGCAAAGAGGTTGCCTAAATCAGTGTTTTTATATAGTATGTTTTGATGTATCCTAATTAATATTCATTTACTTTATTTAAAGAATTAAAGCAAAAATATATTGAGACAGTTCTAGGACAAAAATAAATGGATGAAATCACCATTAAACTTGATCCAGTCCTTTCCTCAGTATTCTACTTAAAAATAGAATATAAAACTACTCATTTCAATTCAAAATGACCCAAGGAGTCTCAGTACACATTGTTCTTTAGCTTCTGCCTAAGAAATAAACATTTGATCTAATTTCAAAATTATCACAGAAATGATGCAGAAGCATCTAGTCCTATTCTTTCATGCCTAGGTAAAGCATTTGGCTGACTAATTTTATATAACAATATGATTACTATATAAAACTTGCATTTGATCGGATGAAAATTTTAGTTTTTGATTTCATGCAAATAGGAACTGGAATGTGAACTAGTATTGTATTCTTTTGATTATGTTGAACAATTACTAATTACATCTTAGGCCAATTTCATTCATGATTGGTGCAATTTTGAAATTATTAAGTTCTACAATGTGGCTAAACTCTCTTGATCTATTATTGACTCAACTAAAGGTACATCGACCTAGTCATAGAAGTTTCCCTCTTCTAAAATAGTGTTCTTTGAAAAAGTAAATGTTTTATAATTAAATGTTTTATCTCTCACCCCTAGAAAAGAAAAATAATACATGTAAACAAGAATTATACAGCAACCTTATAGTAATAAGTTTTCTGCTATAAACACAGTATTCCCAAGAGGGCATGAAAGGAAAGATGTCTTAAAAATTATGGTGATTTAATTTTATTTTGCCCTAGAATGACATTCTCTTGAGTATTTGTGAAAATGAAGATGAATATGCAGGGATACATTTGGTTGATTTTGTGCCAGATGGCCAGTTGCAGAGGCTGAACTAAGCTGAACTGATTGATTCGTTTTTGCCATATTGCATGCTGGCGCTTACCAGAGTTCACATCATTCAAGTACTAACAAATTTGGTAGGTTTGTTCTTTTTTTAATCCATCTTAAAAAATCTTTCATGGGATGACCTCTGTTTTAAAATACAAACTTGTCCTTAATGATATCAAATGGTCAGTTCTGCCAATTTTTTCTTAAATATAACTTTAATAAGAAAAAAAGGTCATTTGTACTTTCAATATACTGTTTTATGCTTAGATAAACTATTCATATTGAATGGTAAATGTTTAAAGTTCATAAAAATAAATACCTGTTCAAATTTTTTGGGAAAATCCAGTGTAAAATTTTTACAATTTAAAGTAGTAAGTCCACATAACTTTCTGGGAAAACAGGGGACACAGTTCTTATGTTCAAGGGGCTTCATCCTAGCACTCAGATGTTAAGTGGTGTATCTGTTTTAATATTGGTGTCAGAAAAAATTAAATACACACACTACACACAGTTACCCAGCACTCTATACAAAAGCAAAGTGATTAAGTTGTGAAAATATAAATGAGCAGGACCCAGAGGAGAGTATTCTGTGATAACTGTGCTTTAGTACCCTCCTGGAGTATTTTGGCAATTTCTCACTCATTTGTAGATCTCTGTTTTGTTCATCAGCACTGCTTCCTTGAAGGGATGGACAAAGAAGTGTGACATGTACAAAAGCTAGGGGGCAGGAGTCCATAGGGCCACATATTCACTTTACTTTTCAAGGTCTCTGCTCTTTGAGGCTACTGCTTCAGTCAAGCAAGTGTAGATTATGAATATAAGACGCTTTCCAGTGACTGATATTTTAAGAAGCACACAGTAGCTGAAGCAGCTACCAAAACCCTGAAAAAGGAAAAAAATTACTAAAGGACTGTTGACCTGGGGTGAACAATGACCCCAAAGTTTCTTTTGTAGTTGTGTTCACATTCAACTCACATGAGGAGATGCATTTTCAGAAATTTAGTGTGCCCTGCCTTAGAATAGACATTACATGGATTATACTGTAATGCAATGAGTGTTTAAAGAACTATCATTTAACATAAAGTCATAATTTTTTCTAAGAGTAAGATGTTCTTGGTACTTACCCCCTAAAACTCTTAAAAATAAAAAGGAAAAACAATAATGATCATAACCACCATAAATTACAGTTTTAGATATGCTAATACAAAGAAAAAATTTTGAACCTTTATTTGCTGACAATTTCACAAAATTAGGGGAGATTATAACCTGGAAAATACTTTCCCCCCAAATTATCTCTCCACATGACATATCAAGCTTTAAATTTCTTGTTATTTTAGAGAAAATGGCAAGAAAATTAAAATAAAAAGATTATCTCAAGGTGCATGAGGCCAAATTCTAATCTATTTTAGTCCTCATTGATATGTTTATCAAGATTGTGTAATATCTTCTGTGAATGATGGGTGGATGAAAAATTTAATAAGGAAACAGATTTTATTGTGAAAAGACCACTAAAAATGGCATTACCTAGAAATGAAATTTGACCTTTATTATTTGAGTTGAAAGAGGAGAAACTTGTCAAATTGTTCTGAGAAATTAGCTTTTTTTTCATTTTCTGAAACTTGTGACTGACTGAATATATAAAAATTTTCACTATGCCCAAAACTCCCATGGCATCCATGTTACCTATAGTGATTTGGTGAATCAAGCAGAGCAGTTAACACTGCAGACTATAGAACTGAAGGAGATTAAAGAGTGAACCCACAGTACTTTATTGACCTAGGTCCCCACATTAACCTGATCTGATCCTGTAATTACTATGAATAGAATAGGGCTTACAGTTCTCTTTAATAACACCCCAGGCTTTTTTATTCTATAAAGAGATTTTCTATTCATGTTCTTTATTCCTTTCCAGATTTACAGATTTGTAGCAAGAAAGAATGTGTGTGGCTTTGCTAACACACCGGGAGAGAAAGATACCTAATGTTCATGGGCAGTAAGTCCAACATGTCCACTTTTTTTTTTTTCTTTTTGGAGCTGAACTTACTTTAAAGTCATATTTCAAATTATCCAATCACCTCTTGCTGTTTAAAAGGAATAAAAGTTGAGTTAGAAATTGACTAATTATAAGGAAGATTGGGCTTTAAACTTAGGAAACTACTAAAAGATCATAATTTCATAGTATTCTTCTCATTGTAACTTTTAGAGTGCTTACCTTTAAACTCATATTGAAAACCATTAGCTACTTTAACCTCATCAGAATGATATATAGTCAGAATAATTGTGCATTTGAGTGATATGCAATGCTATAATTAATAATCAGTATTTTCTTTCAATTTAGAAAAACAGCTGCAGCAAGATGATAAGGTATATTATGAGAGTAAAGAAAGACCTGACTATTAATAATTATGATTTAGGGTAATCAAAAGTAGTGACGTAATCATTTCATTTTAAAAAATGGGTTAAAGTCTGTAAGTAGTTAGCTGAGTTAAGCATGAAAAAGTAAAAAGTGCTCAATTTTAGAAATTGTAAAGAGTATCAGGAAGTCTTTTAAAATATTATTAAGGATGTTACTTCTGCATTAATAGGTCTTAATTTTTATTACAATTGTGCAAAGCTAAAAAGTACACCTTGATCTTTCAGTGATAAGTGTGGTGGTCAGTGAAGTCAGGACTCAAGTGTAAGAGAGTAAATACAAACAGCTACATCAATTGAGGTCAGAGAAGGGGTTCACATGTCAAGGAACTAGCTTTACAAGTATCACATTCAACGCATTAAGTAGGAATACCCTTAGTACAATTTCCATGAACATTACATTTGTCAAAGTAATTATCTTTCTTAAGTGTTAGCAGGACTCATTCTTTCAAAAGAATAAATAAAATGAGGCCATCAAGAGAATAAATTGTTAGTTAAAAAGTTTTAGTAAATATTTAAAAATTAATATGTTCAGGAAAAATGTGAGGTACAAAATAAAGTAATAATACAAAATAAAGTAATAATTTGACAGTTATGGGATATTGGACAAATGATATAATTTCATTTCTTTTTAAAGTCTCTGTTTAGGGCAGTTAATACAAGTAGAATATAGCGTTTCATGTTAGAACTTTGTTTTAAGATCTTTTATCATAATTTTCCCTTCTTCCCAAATAGAAGGATTATTATAAGTCATTTTGATTAGACTGTCAAAAGCTTCTTTGTTGTATTTTGCAGAGAGTATGAATAATCTATATCATGCTTTTAAGGAGAAAGAATTTGAAATTAGGCAGGTTAGTAGTTGGCCAAACAGATTCAGTGTGCTGGTATTCATTTTGAAAACAATATCGCTTTAGAAATGTCACGTGCAAAAAAATCTATGTAATGGTGGGATTCATTTATGTTATTTTTGGTATTTGAGGTTTTACTGTTGAGAGAATGTTGATAATATGACTAATGGCATCATGATAATATTTCGGGCTAAAGAAAACAAGTTACAATTACTTATTTTAAAGAAGTATATATATTTGTACTTTGTAATAGTGTGTACTTGGTAAAGTATTCACAGTGAAACCCCATCTTTTTGGTAACTATTTTTACCATTAGAATGAAATAGCATTTGGAAACAGTAGGGTAGTTTTCATCTGCAGGATTAAAAAGAATCTGAACAGAAAATGGATTCATATCATCTTCTTTTGGGGTACCAAACGTAGAAAAATATATAGCAGTTGATTTATTATAAGTGGGTTGAATTTTCTCTCCTGGTGGGCTTTTGAAACCTTTAGTTGCTGTTCTTATCCTTGCTGTGTGAATATCATTTTTATATCACTTTTTGTTAAAAGGAATTTCCCATGAAAGTCCACCCAAAATAGCCTGGAATCTGATTATTCTCCTTCCATGAAAATTTTGATGGGTTTGGGTCAGTTTTATACCTCTCTTCAGTTCATTTGATTTTTACCAGGTTCTGTAATGACAGAATTGTTCATGAATGGAGAGGACATTCTAGCCTTCAGGGCCAGACAGGATTTTATCCGAATGACACAAAAGAACCACAAGGAGGGTAATAAAATCCCATGCCATTAGGAAGGCTATGAGATGGTGAATTTTTATGGTTATAGTAGGTGATCAGGTAAACATTTTTACCTTTCCCTCTTGGAAAATTTAAGTTGAAAAAGAGGGTAGAGGAGAAAAAGCATTAAAAAAACAAACAAACAACAACAACGAAAAACCTTCCCAAGTACTTACTTTAGGATGGTTTTAAATTTTTATATTTCTGAATTCATATGAATTTTCTCTAGCCAAAACCTATTTGTCTTAATAATAAAGAAGCTAGAATGTGATTAGGACCTTTAAGGTAAATATCAGAAAAAAACAACAAATCCTATATTTTAAAATTCAAACACTATTGTGTTTTCATTCCATAAATGTAATAAATCATATTTTGTACAATCACTCACAATTGCTATAATATTTGGACTGTGAGTCCTAAGGAGCTTATCTCAGACTTTAGATTGGTGTTGACTATAGGTAAAGATTTTGCCATTTGTTTTAGAAAAAAAAAATTGCTCTTAAATGCTTGCTTCTTTTCAGCTATAAATAAATTAATATTTATTTTGATTTAATAATTTCATATAAATATTTGACTTTTCCCATAACAATATAGAAGCTTTATGTTATGATAACTTTATAATATTTTAAGTTGGTTTATATTTTCCTTTTGCTGGAAATCACATAATAATTATTTATTTGTAGTTCTATTCAGTAGTAACTTCAGCAAATTTGAGTTTAAAAGTAATAATAATAAAGGAGGTTGAGCAAGTTTCTTTCCAAATGTCAACTAAAGTAGTGAAATTCACAACTTTACATTCAACTTTTCATCTGCTAGGTGGTTTAGTTCTTAATTAACAGAAATTATTCAAAAAGGCATCAATTTTTAAATTTTTCTATGTAATCACACTTTGCATTTTAATTTTATTGTGTTTGTTGACTGTATGGGAATTCCTTGAATTCAGATAAATGCCCACAGAGAGTTTCTTTTTAAAAATTGGTGATTTTTTTGTCTTCCGTACTTTCCCTTCTATTCCATTCCCTTTCCTTCTTTCAAAACATATATTTTGCACTGCATAAGATTCATGTACTTATATGGTGCTGCTATTTGTATTCATTAAAACATTGGTCTGTTGGAAAAACACTTAAAAACATTTTTTTTCTACTTTGCTAGAAAGTTTTATGTTTTCTTTTTAAAAGAAAAATATTGAGCAAGATTGGAAAGCAACACATTATACTGATGACTATTTGAATGATGCAGGTAAAAGTAAACATTGAATTAGAAATGAGGATACACAGCAATGACAAAAACATGAGCTAAATTTAAGAAGACCCTTCTTAGCACTCGTTGCTTGTTGCTTTGCATTATGTATGTGCTTTGCCATGTTCTAGATAATTTCTCTCCTTGGATTTAGTATGCTAAAATAGTGAATAGGATATATATATATATATATATATATATATAATGCTAAAATAGTGAGTAGGATATATATATACACATATATATTATATATATAATTTTTTAAAAATACTTTAAAAAAATTCTTGGCTATAGGGACATAGCAGAGTTTCCATTTTTCAGCTTTTCTATCATATATTTCTTTATGGTTATCAAATACAGGTATGCCATGGTTCTGGAAAACAGAGTAGATAGGCATATCCCCTCTCCCAATCAATTTCATTCTTTATATCATTGCAGAACTTTTGTTATACTTAATCTTTTATTAATATATGTATAATTGTGTGTGTATTTGTATTTGCCTGCATGTGTGTTTAAATTAACCATAGATTTGCAAGGGTGAGTACCTTTATCTAAGAAAGTTTATGTTGAAGCATTTTATATGTCTATTTGAGGAAGTCTAACTATTACTACCATTATATATAAAATTAGGTCTATGATCATGATTTTAAAAGTTTATAAATAGATGCTGAGCACCTATTCTGTGTTATGTATTTCATGATTTGAATTTATAAAAGATAAATATTATCACCCTTATTTTACAAGGGAAATTAAAGCTCGGACTTGCCAGAGCTAATGCAATCAGTAAAAGCAAGAGCTGGAGTTTCTAACACGTCCTTTCACTTGGCCTCTTTATCCCAGCATTTGTATAAAGATTTAAAGTTTACCAAGTATCCTAGCATAAAAGATCCCAAGCTCACTGTTGAAATAAAAATATAAGTTCTGAAATACTTAAAAAGCAAATGAATTTGATGATGTTTATGGTCGCTCCATACTTGATGATTTGACAAAAGATAAATGTGTGTTATTTTACATTTTATAGAATGGCTTTATTTAATATAAGTGGCCTATTGGGCATGAGTGTTTCAAATATATTCTTCTTTTTGCAAATCAGAATCAAGCACTAGATGATATATGGCTGAAAGAGATTAGAAAAAGAGATATTAAGGATTTCTTCTTGATTCTTTGTTTTTTAAAAACTGACAAATATTTATTTGCATGTATAAATTTACAGGGGGACTGAAATAGACTAGCATTGCCTTTTTGACACCTTTTAGAGTTTCTTTATTTCCTGTCAAATACTTTATCCCTCAGTTTCTCCCCCCATAATGAAATATCTTTATATTGGCTTGTTTAATTTTATTTTTTAAACTATTACAAAATTACTAAAAATTTTCCTTGTATACAATGTAGTTTCATCCCCACTCTCTGCAACAGAGTGGGAAATTTGTTTTTTTTTTCCAGATAATTTTCCTTTTGCTTTGAGCTTCAAGGATTTAATGATGATATAATAAATTTATTAATGTTGGAAGAAACATTAATTATGTTTGCTTTTGGAAGCAAAGGTGCTTTAGAAACTCCTTCTTTCCAGTCTAGCCATTCTATCAGCTGCCTAGAAGTAGCTGGGTCAAGGGAGGGGAATTCAATCACAAAGTGCTCAGACACTCCAGATTTTCATTATAAGTCATACATGTAAAAGGGATGAGGGATCCACTCCAAAGTCTAATAAACCGAATTCTTCTAAATGAATTGCAAGATTTCATACTTTTGGTGATAATAGCAAACAACTGTGCTTTCTTAGCAATTCATTCAAATTAGTAGTAATGAAATAAACACACCAGGGGTAGAGTCTGCCTATGGTCCTTTATTGGAAGCTCATCTTGTGTGGCTTTAACCTTTGTACTATTGTTACCAAAAATGTTTAACCTAAGTCTAAACATTAGACAATGACTAAAATAAATTTGGATTGTAAGACATTTAAATAACCCACATGGGTTCTTCAAAAATTTCAATGCATAGAAGACAAATGCAGAAGAGTCTGCTCTAGATTAAAGGCAACCAAGTACAGTATGTGACCCATACTCCTTGATTGGATGCAGATTCTTGTACCCAAATAAGCTGGAGGACATTATCAAGAGAACTGGGGTATTTTTACATTTGGACTTTATAATAGGAAGTGCTATTGTGGTGGTGTTACATTTTTTAAGTGTGATAATGGCATTGTGGTTCATCTAGCAGAATGCCCTTGCTCTTTGGAAGCACGCTGAAGTATTTAGGGATGAAATGTCATGATGTTTGTAGTTTAAGTTCTAAAGGTTCAGCATAAGAAAATATGTTTATGTTGAAACATGATATTGCCAATTTACACCAATTATTGGCTGAGATAGAAAAAACAAATGTGTCAAAAATGTTAATAATTATTGAATAAGTAAAGAATATATAGGTGTTTGTTGTACTATTTTAAATTTTCTATGGCTTTAGAAATTTTCAAATCAAACAGGGCTGGGAAGATTGCATTTATTTCTTAATGAGCTACAAAAAGAGTTTATTTGAAACTGGCATACTATATTCAATGTACACAGTTAATTTCTGCTACTCAAGCCAAATAAAACCTTCTCATTCTCAGTCACGGGGTTTAGTACTCAAATTGTCCAAATGATTGCTTTATAGATTTATGTCACTTTTAGAGAAAATAGCACTTATGGCTCATTCATCAGAAATCCATTTTGAAGTATATTTTGTATCTTAAACCATAGCAGTATCCTTTGCTGAATTAATTGGGATACATTCTATTATCATAGAATTCAAGACTCCAATGCTTCGATTAGTTTAGCAATAGCAAATTTAAATCATAATCTTACTTTAAAATTTCGCAAACTATTTTTTTGTTGTTAAACTATATTTATTATGCAAGTCAACATGTAATATCTTCCAGATTAATATAAAATGTATTGAGAAATGATCATTATTTAAATCATCCAATATGGTTTTGCATTTCTTATTGTCTAAAAGACATGGTTTTAAGTCCTGTTTAAGAAGTTTGCATTGACTTCAGTGTGAGTTCTCTGCCTTGTATTGCAGTGAAACGCAAGCTGTAATGAATAGGCCATAAGCTCCAGTCTGCAGGACTTCAGAAGATGCCCCTGTTGTATGTATCAGGTTGGGGATTTGTTTTGTGGTGATCACCCTTTCTGATTTGAAGATTGCATGACAAGGAACTATTAAAGTAAAGGGCAAAGAATTCAATTCCTTGATGTCGCTTTTCTTGGACAGGCTTTAAAAATAGGTCACTTAATGTTATCTGGATTTGTGTATTACACTAGCACCTGCTAACACTGCTATACTTAAGGGTCTACCGGTGTATTCAATTTCAGGGTTTCTAGACTGGATTCTGATTCTCTAAATCTAAATAGGCTTCCATTCAAATGGTAGTGAGCAAGGTATGTGGGAGGCTATATATTTTTTGTACTATACTGAGTTAAAAATGAATGTTTGCTTTAATATATGCTGAGAGGTGAAAAATGAAAATGTGGGATTAACAAAATTATCCTAACGTTGAATAACTCACCATTTGCATTTTTTAAAAAAGTCTATGAATTGTGCAATTAGATATCTACTTAAAGATCCATTACAATGGTAATTACAAGTTTCTGTTATATTTTAATCATGAACATATTAATGTGCTACCTTTTAGCTATTGTTAAATTTCACCTTTTAAATGTGTTTAGAATGGGCAATTATGCTTTATTATCATGTACTATTCTACTAATATAAAGATAATGTCACTAATATTGCATATATATGTACATATACACATGTAGACACAGATTTTATATACTATCACTTCATTCAAGAAATATATTTTCTGACATGTGTGTAAGTAAGTTTCTAAGTGATATGTAATAAAAATAGTAATGATTCTTTTCTCCATAAATATTGAAATTGAATCGTATTTATTACTTAGTACTTACTATCCCTGTCCTTCTTAAAGCTCTATTTCAACATAGTCCCATTGCAGCTGTTTATGCCAGTTCAGAAATATATTTGATAAATGTTTTTATTTTGTGGATTTATGACTATTTTAAAAAATCCAAAAGCTAACTATAAAAGGTGACCATTCTGTATCATAGAGCAAAAATGCTGTACTGCCACTAGAATCTTATTAAATACAATAAAAACTGTCTTCTTGTTTGTCTGTTAGTATTGTGTCATATAAATTAGAAAGTAAGTAGTTACATTGCCCTTTAGTAATACACTGATTTTTAGTGGTAATTCTTAGATTTCTACAAAGATGTAGGCTATCTATTTAGAAACTGAAGTATTAAACTGAGAGTAGTAACTATTTATTATTTTGGTGACATTAAACCTATCTTTGAATAAATATGGACAACTAATGCTATTTTACTAACCACTCCTAATTTAATAATATACTGTGTCAATGCATTAAGAGACTCTGTCCTTGATGAAATGAATTTATCAGATATGATAACTAGGATTCTTATAATATCCAGGCTCATCAGGGTTAGAAAAAAAATTATTTTGAAAGAAGTATCAACGATAGTTTTCCTAACACCACTGTTCCTGAGTTTCTTTTTAAGGACTTTGATATTGAGATCACATGCTGCAATATTTAAGCTTGATGGGATGAGTTAAGGATAGGGGCTTAAGATGGCTTAACTGGCATTTCTGCTTACATTTGAAAGACTTGGATCAGTGTCATCTGAGGCATCCTTGTGGTCTATCCTGACACACGTGAAAATATTAGCTATGCCGAAGGAACTTTGGGATAAGGTCTATGCTTTGCATGTTAGTTTAATTTATATTTTGACTAAGATGCTTGTTTCATACAAAGGTTTCTATGGGCATTGATTTTTTTTCCCTGTTGACATTAAATGAGAAAGCACTTTTTTTTTTCCTGAAAACCAACAGTTTTCTACGCAAATGGGTTCAGACTTAATTTTAATGGAAGTGAAACATAGTCAATAGAGGCAAATTAAAACCATATAATTTTGTAATCTTAGTTTAGCTATAATTGCAGCAATAAAACAGTGGAAAGAATAATTGTGGAACATATGTTTGTGAGTGACATTATCTAGGTGACTTCCCCTTTACGGCAGTGTGCTGTCCTATTTGTTTCCCCCTCCCTATGTATTGGAATGACAAACCTGCAAGCCTGGAGTTAATGCTGATTGCAGCAGCTGCTTACACATGGAGTCTCCATAGCAACTGTGAAGGTTGCCATGCAACCATATTCTTTTAGGGACAGTGAAAATGCCCAAAGGCTTACTAAAAATACATGGGGAAAAAAATCTGAAATTTTCTTACTACTTTTAGTGGTTATAAAGAACTATGATACAAGTTGAAAGCACAGGTCAAGCAAATAAAAACCCAGCCCTGACCTTTCAAAAATTGCTTGCTGTTGCCTGAAATCTCAAGCTTTATTCACAGAGATGACTTTTGATCGATTCTAAAATTGGTAGCTTATGCTAGGCAGCCCTTGAAGACGGGAAGATTCAGTATGGTGCTATTGGTATTCCTCATGGGGTTAAAGGTCAGCAGAAAGTCATCAATGCAATATTGATTGGTGGGGCTGAAAAATGCCCATGTTTACACCTTCTCGCTGCTTAGGGTTGCGTACCAAACCTTAAGTAGACTCATGCAGCCTCTGAGCGCGCTCTGGGACAAACCATTCCATCAGCAAATGTGACATCACTTCAGTCAGCTCAGCTGTTTCTGCAGCTTTCTATAAATAGCCAGATAAAAAATTGAAGACTACTTGCAGAGAATTTAACCAACCAATCTGCTTATCCAAATCATTTAAGATAAGTTGGGATTCTGATTTTGAAATCTTTAGTTTTCCATGTTTTTTAACATAAAATGTTATTTTAATAACAGAGTCTTTTTCAGTACACATGTAAGATCTGCTTATGTGTATCTAATTTTATGATAGCTTGCCTCTTTAAAAGAGTGGCCCTTGTAAGAAACTGAACAGACATTGGCCAGTCTCTACTGCAGTAGGCTTCGTTCACGTAGTACAGATTTCTTGAGATTATCTAATGTATTATTTTAGGAGCACAAATTCAGTAAATAAATAATATGTTAGATGGCTATCATCAAATTATAATATTGTAAGTTCCTTAAAATCCATCAACAAAGATATTAACATTTCAAAAAGATAAACAAATATGCATTTTCTTTTAATCATATCTCACATGAAATCAGTCATATTCTAACATTTTCCTATGCAATTTTCTCAAAGATGGTAGGTACATTTTTGAAATAAATATTTTTTTATTTTTCATTTTTTTACAAAGACTCTGAAATTGCAAACTATTCATATTAGACTAATAAAAACAATTTTTGTTACTAGGACATTTCTCAATTTTTCATAGATTTTGTACCAGTGGAGATGATAGCAAATTACCTGGATCATAATAACAGAGCATCTTACTACTTCAAATAGACAAGACAGACTTTCTTAAAACCTATTTTAATAGATTGTCTACAAATTAACAAAATATGTGGTTATTTCACTTTGTCAAGTTAGATGAACAAATGAATGCTTTGTTTGCAAGACTTTAAACATTCAGACTGACCTAAGATGTGAATATATGTGTATACCTGGAAAATAGAATAAACCTTCATCAGTTCAGTGTGAAGCATCCTTAAGAACAATGAAGAATACCCATCTAGAAAGAAAAGCTTCTTCTAGTTACCAGCTAATTTCTTATGTCATTTTGCCCAACCCTGCCCCACTTTGCTGCAAGTAGTTTGTTGTTTTTAAAATACTTTCATTCCCTTCTTTGGAAAGATCATGAAGGATAATATAATTTTATTCAAGTTCATTATTTTCTTAAAATATTGAGCCAGATAAAACTAGACTATTAATGTGTTTTTTCTGTTCAGTATTCCTCTTTATTGACAACTCATCAAGATCTGGCAAATAACACTAAATTGAATTAGTGATTAAATTGAGAGCTAAATTTGTTTTTTTAAATAAAGATTTACTTTATTTTTAAGCAGATAATACCTAGAACCAGATACAAAAGTAATCTATAATAGAATGATATAAGTTTTTTGAAAAATCATTATAAGATTAAATATGAAAAATGTATTAACCATTAATTTGATACCAATTTTTCTGGACACAGAAAACACTTTTTAAAATTTAGAAGTATTTGAATGGACAGTCTTTAAACAAATTATAATCATGTATACATAAGCTACACAATAAGTAGTGCAAACCATCTATAGAGCAGGATTTTTAGGTTTTATTTCAGAGGGCTGCTAGTTTGTAAAATGCATATCATATGATACAAATTGAAACATGATATGGCATGCAAGCTTAAATAAATTAAGCTAGCATTCATTATTACAGAATTATCTTCCACACTCTAGTACTTAAAAAACAAGAGAGAAAACTTTGCTAGTTTTATAATTATTTGTTTCCTTTTGGTATGTATTTGCCATGTATTAAAACTACATATTTATATTTTATGTTACTCTAGCTTGGTTTTAATTTGAATCTTCTTCAGTGAGTAGTTTTGAATTTGCATTTTATAGCTTGTTAACAAATTTAAGAATACAAATAGACTATTTTCATTGGATTTGATAGAAAGGACTCTTTTTGAGTATGTGCAAATCCCCAAAATATTCTGGCTTTTTAAGGTGGTGATAATTTAAATTGTTTTTTCGACGACTGATCCTAAAATAGTGAGAAAAATTTTGCACAGATTTTATTTAAAAACTGAATAGAATAAGAATGTATAGCTGTGGTTATGGCTTTATTTAATTGATCTCAAAATACCCCTACATGTTCATCTATGCCCAAATGTAATACTAGGAATACAAGGGCTAAAATTATACTTAATTTTTGAGCATCTGTTTTATATACTCTCAAGTTTTTTTTAAAGGTAAGCATTTAACAGCTTGGAAAGAGAAATTATTAATAAAGTATAACTGTTATATTAAAATATAATAAAATGCATCTTAAAAAAATAATGTGATCCCATTTTAGGTCAGTTTGTCCTAGGGGGCATTATCAACACTCTAAAAAAATTCAAACTTGAAAAAAAATCTTTTTTTTTTCTTTTTTTTTTTAGGACAGCAAGCCATTAAATCTCATGAGTAATGTTGAAAAAAGCTGGATTGTGCATAGATTGCTCTTTACCCAGGATGCACTTCTGTCTGCAAGATTCTGAATAGAGACACACCTGCTAGCTAGCTGATAACACTCTGGGGTCATTTCATTGAAGAAACTGTCAGCCAGGAGTTACTTAAAATAAAGCCACAGACAAAATCATGACCTGCACTGTTGAGACTAAAAAGGTGTAAAAGCAGAAAGGAAATGTAGATAAATGCACATTCCTTTGTACCATAACAAAACTTTTACATGTAAATTCAACTGAATAAGAAAGAATGGGGAAGAATGTTTCCCTCTACAGTAGAAACAAATTAGATTGTTCAGCTGCACATTTGGCTCTCAGCCAAAGGAGTCGTGTGCCATGCTTGTTTGCCTACCAGTGCTGCTTAGATTGGCAAATGCCCATGCAGTTTGAAGAGGGCAGGCGGATGACTGGATGCCTGCCAGGAAGTGTGTGGGACTGATGCCACTGCTGGACTCCATAGCCTGGTAGGAATGAGGAGTACAAAGGCATTCAATAATCTGAATGTCCCTTTGCTTCAAGAGAGTGGTGCCAGGCAGCATTTAATGAGAGATTGCTTTGTTACAAAGTCCTCAACATCAAGTGGGCTGGTGAGCTCATTAACCTGACTGCAGCAAATAAAAAAGGCACACTCAGAAGACTCCCATGATAGCCTACTCAATGGTGTAAGAGCCCTTTTGCTTCCTTTATGGTGATCCATTAGCAAGCAGCAGTGTAAACACCATAAAGCAAGCCAGGTTTCTGATTGTTCAACTAAAGTCTGTTTCCCCTTGGGGATTATACCACCAGTTGATATAGGATTTTTCCTCTTAAGGTTTCTATCTACTATATAATGACCGTCTTTGCAACGAAGGATTTTGGGGGTTGCTCTTAACAGCACTGCTCCGGTTAAGGAAACATGAACTGTTCAGGTGTCTGAAAGAAGGTAATGATGTAGGACACACAGAAACAAACTACGAAGTGGAGTGATCCCAAGAGGAAATCTTGCTGCGCACTTCTGAAGCCCAAAATGGTGAACGCATTACGCTACTTTTCTGCGTTCCCTTTATTTTTAGCTTTCAGAGGGCTTTACATTCATATGGGAGGTAGGCCACCCCTGCAGTTAGGAGACAGTTCACTGAGCATCTCTCTCTGAGTGCTACTTCAGCTCTCTGGGGATTCATTTACTCTGCAAAGGCTCTTCAGCAAGGATTCCTCTCTCCTCCATTTGGAACATATTTGATGGTTGGTTGTGCAAAAATCTGACTTACAGTGTCTAAACAGAAAGCTATAGAATAAAAAAATAAAAATAAAAAAAACTGAAAGATAAAGGAAGACCAAAAAAAAAAACAAAATAAAACAAAACAAAACAAAAAAACCACAAAAGATCACAACATTACATCTTTTGAAATCCAAAGGCCATCTGTTGCTTTGCTATCAAATGTGAGGAGGTCATCGTATGACTTTAGAGATTGGTTTGAGAAATGAGAAAGGAAAAGCCCATAACTTTCAAGTTACCAGTTTAAATCTAGAAGCAATTACAGGTGAGTGACAACCATTGTTTTCTGATTGACATTTGGTGGTTAAAATGAAATAAGTTAATTGTCTTGGTCCGACGTTTAGTTAACATATGTCTGTAGTAATCAAAATTATTATGTATAATTGAAAAAATAATCTGGATGTAGAAATCATTCATTTTGTTTCCTCCATAATCATTTTGGAGAAAGGATCAAGTATAACTTCAATGAAATCCTATATGAGAGTGTTTTGGCCCTTTGTTAATTTTTTTAAAAATAGAACATACCAATTTAACTTTTGCTTATTTCTGAATGAAATATGAAGTCATAACTAGAGAATTAACTGAAACATGAAGAATTAACAAAAATGCCTTATATAATAATAATATTGATCCCCTTCATTTGACCATATAAAACAAAAGCAGCTGTGGGCAGTGTCTCATGCCTGTAATCCCAGTGGTTCAGGAGGCTAAAGCAGAAGGAATTCAAGTTTGAGGCCAACCTCAGCAAATTAGCAAGGTCCTAAGCAATTTAGTGAGATCCTGACTCAAAATTTAAAAAAAATAAATAAAATGGTCTGGGGATATGGCTCAGTGGTAAAATGCCTCTGGGTTCAATCTCTAGTTTAAAAAAAAAGAAAAAAGTAGGTGGTTGGGTACCTAGTTTTTCAATTCATATGAAGAATGAATTATTTTCAAGGATTATTATCTTCATATATGAATGTTCTGAAAGTTAATTACTTTGAGCTTGATATGTATCTGTAAGGAGGGCATATAGATATCTATATATAGAGAGATACACATATATATTTAGTATATATTTATATGTAAAATATGGTTAGAAAGATCAAGTTGAAAATATTGATGACTTTGAACTGGTAGCTTAAGTTAAAATGGAAGCATACAATAGGAAAAGTATCCTTTATTAGTGTAAAGGAAATAGATTTTTAAAGATACAGTTAGACCACCCAGAATAGCAGAAAGGCTAATGAATACTTTAGAGGTCTTTTTCTGGATGGTGAGCTGTTGGAGGAGAGCCACCATGATTTATTTTTGTCTTGCTTCTTGTTGTTTCCTTGCTGTATTTCTTCTCCTGTCTTACAAAACTAATTTTAAAAATTCCTTTAATTGGTTTCACAGAGATGTCTAAGCAGGGTGATACAATCACCCTGTTGGAGAAAAAGCACAGGCTTTAAAACAATGCAACCCTGGGCTATAATTCCATCTTCTTTACTGATGAGTCGTGTATCATTGGACAAATTCCTTGACTTATCTAAGCCTCAGTTTCTTTACAAATAAAATAGACAGGAACACCTGCCTCATAGAGGATTAAAGTGCTCAGCATCTAAAAGGTCATATGCACACTGCTGGCACATAGCAGTTGGTATTATTACTGTTCTTTCACTGACTTTGCTAGTTTGAGCTTCTTGTTCATTCCTTCTTCCTATTTCTAGTGATTTCCACATGATAATCTTCTATTTCCTGTGGTTATCACTAGTGATAAGAGAGACTCTCTTAGAATTGTAAAAACGTTATGCCCTGTTTCCCACAGAAACTAAACATAAGATGTGAGGCAAACAGCATATATGTCAATCTTCCCTTAGCAATAATATACACTTGGGTCTCTGAAACAAAGGTAAGTCCTTCTTTAACCTCCATTGCCTGGCCTAATTAGGAAACTGGATATTAATATTCTTTTGTTCAAAATGCAGTTCAAAAATTTTTATCAACTCTTTTGGTACTGTGTAGCACAACCGTAGGTCAGAGGGAGACGCCCCACTAGGAGGCAGCACTGTGTGGCCAGAAGGTTCTTTGAGGTCAGACTGAGCTGGGTTCAAATCAGCCCAGTCACTGACTAGCAGTGCTTGACTTGAACCAAGTCTTTTTACTCCCCAAGGGCTATTGGTTGCCGTTGTTATCCAGAGAGTGGAAATAAGGTTTTCTCTGAAGAGTTACTGGGAAGTGGTGTGAAACAGCAACGTACAATGCAGGGCACGCCAAGGTGGTTTCATACCTCATCTGTTACTGGACATCTTACTGCCAGAGCTGCTAATGATGCTGAAACCCAGTGTCCTGGCAGAGGGATCAGGACGAGATGAAATGGCAGTAGAGTGATTCTATAAACAGCTGGGAATGTCAGAGGGCAACAGATTGGAGTAGTGTGGTGAGGGGGAAAGCAGCATGTGTTTCTTCTTGAACTTGAGCCAAGTCAAGAAAAAACTATTCCGGTTCCGTTATGCAGTGGAACTACAGTATGGCCAATGAGGGACTCAGATCATTGCAAAACTATTCAGCGCCACATAAAATGATCCAAGACACCATCTACTCCAGGTGAGGCTTCTACTGTAATCTTTATGCTAGTCTCCTTTCCGTCCACTCTTGTTCTTCTTAACATTGCTTTCCCATTTGAAAGCTGAATTTCTTTTTTTTTCCCTGTTTTTCAAAACATGTACCTTAAGTACCCTTCCCTTGACTCCTTTATCCCAATTCTCTTGGTGGAGATAAGACTTCTTTAGTCACCAGTGAGTAAGGTGAGCATTCAAAGGAGTGAAGGCAACAACTGCTATTGTCCACTTTAGTTCATGAAAGCCACCAAGTGAGTGAATCCCATTATCTTCCTGGCTAGAGTTTATTCATTTAGTACAATAAACAAGCTAATGCTTGGCATAAAAATAACCAAAGTTTTCAATCCCTCGGGCTGTAAGTGTTTCTCATATTGATCATATGTCATTTCCCTTTTTAATAATCTTACTTTTTGTCCTCTTCTTGGTTAAAGCCCTAATACTGCTACTCCTCTGTCCCCTTTTGAATCTCAGAAGACCACATGTTACTCTGGCTCTAATGATTAGTTACTACATTTGCATATGTGTTTGCTCATTATGTGTTTTTGGCTTGAAGAGCAGATCTTGTAACAGAAGTTATCAGGAGTGACGCTGCACATTTCCTTTGAGTGGAGATCTTTTCTCAACCTGAAGCTATCATTTTTCTTTCTTTCTTTTTTTTGAGAAAAATTAAAAAGAAGTTTTATTTATTTGCTAGCAAAGGAGAAGCACATGGGATTCCTGTCCCAAAGACTGTGATTCTGCCCATCAGGGGACACAGGGGGCTTTAATTTTTTATTGTTATTTTTCTACATGAGTTACTATATTTAATAGGTACATTAAAATGGTGTTGAGAGGGGTTGTGGCTCAGCGGTAGAGCACTTGCCTTGCATGTGTGAGGCACTGAAATCTATCCTCAGTTGCACAAATTAGTCATTATAGTTCTATTAACATTATAGAAAAATATGGCCAAATCTAAAAAAAATTTTTTCAGCATGTGTGTGTATGTGTGTGTGTGTGTGTGTGTGTGTGTGTGTGTATATATATATATATATATATATATATATATATATATATACTTTATATAGTATCCTAATTTGTTAGGTCCCCTGACATGTTATAATACTATTTGTGGATAAATCTTTCTTCTAAAAATAGCCTGTAAGCAAACTCATATATAATACATCCATTAACTGTCTAGATATGATCCTGTATACTTTGTGTGCTGGTAGAGCTTCTTGGTTAATAACAGCTAGGGTGGCAGTTTATGTTGCTCTTTCCATTAATGAGTGTCAGTGTACTATTATGCAAATATGCTCAATTTCGGTTTCTTTCTCCATTATTATATGATCCTTTAGAAAGTTTTTAGTCAGTATGGCAAAACCAGGAAATGTAATGGATCTGCCTCATCTCTCAAAACACAAGCAAGGAATGTTATATCAAACTTAAGAATTAACTCCTGCAAGTGGCTGAAGGAGCTTATTGGAGTAGGGATAGCCAGGTAAAAACTAGGTGGTTTGCTTTCCAAACAGTATCCAAAACGTCAGTGCAGCATGGAAGTACTGACCAACCGTGCCATGAATTGCAAGTGCAAGCACATAATACCATGATTTCATGGGATTGAAGAGCATGAAAAAGTGACTCTTTTCCTCAAGTCTCTCTAGAAGGTGCTGAGAGCAGATATCTCTGTAGGAACAGTTCAGTTATTACTGATTCAGCCCTTCCATTTCTAGAATTGCATCCTCTCTATTAAATGGGATAAGTGTATATCCTTTATAGGCCAAGTTGACAAACTAATAAAACTCTCTGATCCAGGAAAAATTTTTCTTTTTCAGATCAATACTACCCATCACCTTCCATGGTTCCCCAGACTTCTGATGATGAATTTTAGGTCGTACATAAATTATTTCCTCTTTACTTTTCCAGATTTAGCTCTCTATTTTTATCATCAGAATGGGCCATTTTGAATGTGTCATTCCATCTCTAATATTCCTGTTTTCTCACGTCTTTTCCCAGGGAGAGAGAATCCTTTGGATCTCTAACCTGGTATTCTTCTCCAGGAAAGTCTCAAAGCAATTAGGTCCCCATGCCATCTACTGCAAGATTCTTCCACACTGCTAACCTTTCCTTTAATGGCCTGTTGCAATTCATCCTTCTTTCATATTTATGGTACAATATTCTGAGATTGAGTAAGAGCAGAATTATGTGGGTAAGTTTACTCACCATTTATACTGAGCACCTAACAAGATACACTTGGCATGTTGCATAAATGCAAATATTGCTTGTTGAATGACTGAATGAACTCAAATTCACTCCCTGATTTGACTTCCACCATCCTACTGTTTCCACACACTCTGTCTTCCTCCCGTTATCTTACTATGTTATTCCCGAAATACATAATGTACTTTCACATTTATCTGCCTACATTTATCATCTTCCTTCAGTCTGAAATGTATTTTATGCTTCTTAAAATTATACTCATAGCATCAGTATTTTTGTTCTCTTCTACCATTTCCTCATCTCCCCACTAAAAATTAGTTTCTCCCTAATATTTTCACTAGAACTTAGTTGTTTCTTTCTCAGAACTTCTGCAACATCTAATTATATCTTCCTTTAGCACTTTTTTCTCATGTTGTTTTTGCATTTACCATTTTGCACGCTCTTGGAGGGCCAAAATTATGCAAATGCTCTTTGTTCCCAGCCTGATTTTCCAAGCACAGAGTCATGTGCCTTGAACACAGATTATATAAGCTTTACAATTTTTTTTTTAATTAAGTTGATTTGTAGTTAAATGTTTATTTCTTGAATCTTCAGAGGCTGGGCTTGCTGGGAAAGATGAGAGTTTGATCTTTGGCTGCACTTTGCAGAGGTATGGTTGGCAGAGAGACTGCGTATAGGGCATGTGGTGGAAAGAGAAGAGAGGCCGGGCAGAGAGGGAGCTGCGTGGAGAAGCCGTGCTTATGAGGGACAGAATGCTTTCTCAGCTGTCTGTGGGGAATCTGGGAGTTGGATTGGTAAAGCAAGCAGTGTGTTGCTCAGTATGCCTCGATGTTTTGTGTAAAGCCTGCTTTTCCCTCCAGGAAAACTTACAATCAATGTCTATATTATTCTTCATGCTTCTGGAATTGAATTTGTGGGGTTTGGATTGTGGTTGATGATAGGCAGATGTAGGCCTCAAGACATTTGGCTTTTTGTGGATTATATAATGTTAAACACTAAAAAGAAGACATAAAACAGGGGTTGGAAAAGCACAGGAATATACTTTTGTTTTTTTCAGATAGATTTCACAGATGCTAGAAGAAAAATCCTTTTTAACCCTTTTTACTAAACCCTCATTTCATCCCTGGTTTCCGTTTGATATTTTATATTCCTACAATGGTCCCAAAGTTATTCAGTCATTAAAAAACTTATCATAACATTTGATGCAGTCACTGACGCGTTAAAGGTCATTTATGGTTTATGTGAAATTACATTGTGTGAAGTGACATATCAAGTCCCAATGGGCTCAAGAGAAAATACACTGATTTGGGGTTAAAGATGTAGTTAGGACAATGGACGTGATGTGAACTCTCACAGCTCTGGAATCCTGTAGACTCCTGGGGAATAAGGATGTTAATTGCTGATGTCAGTTGAATAGAGATGTGGAAACAAAAGGAACCAAGTTACTTATTTGTGCATTGTAAGACCTGTCTGCAGCTCAGCCCCACTAACATACAGAATCACAGGCTTCTAGGGTTGAGGGTTAGAGTAAGTAATTTAACTCTTAGCAAATCTGGATCCTTCAAAGACACTCCTCTTAGCAAAGATCCCGAGAAAAGAAAATATTACAACGTTTTTACTATAACTATATTTGTTTACACTTATTAAAAAATATTTAATGTGGGATATGCATATACCATTGTTCAACTTGGTGAAAATTAAGAGACACTGTAGGTTCTTTCTCTCATTGCATTAAGCCTGCATGTTTCAGTATATAGGGAATTACTTTTTATTCTCCTAAGGAAATTTCTATTGGAAAGAAATACATTTCTCTCATTCTCTTGATTTCACAGATAACTTCAGCTCAACCCCATCTCCTACAACTAGACCTCATAATTGAAGATTGGACAGAGACAATGCCATATTTTTAGCCTATTGTGGCTATATTTTTGTATGCATCTTCTCTTAAATAAATACTGGAATTATGGTATCCAAAATAATGGGCAGAGTTTTTTCATATATACCATAAACAGTTATAAAAATAGAAAAAGAATGCAAACCTACCCTTCTCTGTTTAATAAATGTGTGCTAGAACTTAGTTACTAAAGTCATCCCAAGCTTTTCTTTTCCAGACTAAGTAACCTATGACTTAGACCTTTTCTACAGGCCTCAAATTGCAATGACTTTTTCTCACCACAATTGGTCATTTACTCTAAGACATTTATTTCTACCACATGTGTTCTGTGCACATTCTTAAGCACACAGTCAATCTTTTTGCCTTCTTGGCTGTCTTCTCTGATACTGCCCTAAGTTATTAGGCCACCTGAAAAATGTATAATACACAATTTTTCCCCTCTATGAAACTTCATTCTAGTAGAAATGGAAGGAGAATATAAAATCAAGATTTATTAAATTTATTTACTAGTACTATGAGTTGTGCTTATATAAAAGTAATGTCATGTAGTTGTCAAATACCTTTTCAATTATATATTATTTTCTCAACTTTTACAGTGGAGGATATTGAAATTCAGTGAAATGGAATGACTTCCAAATTTAACACAGATAGATGGTATCAGGACTGAAACTAGGTTTTTTATTTGTTTTTATTTTTTTATTCCAAAGAACTTTTTTTCTCTTGAAATCATATACATGAATACAAAGTACCATTTTTAAAGAGTTGTAAAATTATGCTGAGCAAGTGCCTTACCACTGAGCTATACCCCAGCCCCAGTTTTAAATTTTGATGTAATCTAATCTATTTTTGTTCTTATCGTTGCCTGTAAACATTGATCTTTAAAGTCATCATAATTTGGTCTAATTATATTAAAAGATTACTTTTAACCTAAAAAAAAGAGTTGTAAAATTAGCACAAATAATGACAATAATTTTCAATTTCTTAACATGATAGATGAGAGTGTAGAAAGACTCGCTGAATCCAAAATTTAACATCTTGGGATTAACAGAATGTTGCTACCATTGACAAACTCAGGATACAGGAGGATGAGTTTTATAGAGAAAAAAATAATACTCCCACTATTCAACTGTTCATAGAATCCACTGCCTTTCTTCCCTGGGTCTATTCTTACCACAATTGTCCTTGGGGCCCATAGCTAGCAGGTAGGTATTTAGACTGATTCCAGAGTGAAGAATTGTCATCAATGTGGCAAAATGGTATTTGGTAGTCAAGGTACTATACTACAGTGGTATGTCTGTGCCGGGGCATTATGGGTAAATAGAAAAAGATATGAAACCTGAAGATTATGAAAAATGAGAAACTGGGGGGAAAACAGAGCACCTGTATGTACTTCGGGTCTTAGTAAATTGTGAACAGGTGAAATGAAAATGAAGGCTTGAGACTCTGACAGGGTATAAGGATGTGACCTGAGTGTAGGATATGAAAGTAAAATATTTTGAAAAAAATAAGTGATAATTAAGTTACTACAAAACTTATGGCTGAACTTAAATGGCAGAAGAAAAATCATTTGAGTTGGAAGTTTAAGAAACATTGAGAATATATTATTTGCAGGGATGATAAAATCTATCAGATTGATGTTTACAAAATAGGGTATTGAGAATGTGAGCCTTTATCAAATTTAAGGATATGGCTCTGTAATGGGTAGATTATGGTGAGAAAGAAAAGTAGAAAATAGTATAGCAGAATGATAATAGAATTAAAGGAGGAGAGACTTTGTAGGGGAGGGTAAAAGTAGAAGTCTGAATATGGCATTAGGGTTAGGAGAAATTTAATAATTTTTTTGTTTCATGGATGTGTGTTTATTTATTTAACGGTGGGATGGGATGGAGGTAGGAGAAATGGCAAAAGAAGGGTTGAACGATAGCCCCAAATCAGAAAGGAACTGGAGAGCTAAGTGGGAAATGGGGTGGAGATTGAAGAAGGAATTCAGATTTCATCGAAGCCAGATGTTCCAATATTTGCTGTAGTTTGGGTCTTGAATGTCCCTCAAAGACCCATGTGTTGAATCCTTGGTCCTCAGCCAGTGGTTCTGTTGGGAGCGGGTAGAGCATTTAGGGAGTGGGTGCTTGTGGAAGGAAGTTAAGTCATTGGGCTGTGTCCAATTGGGCTTGCAGGGGATGTGGGGACCCTGGCTCTTCCTATCTCTCTCCTGGTTGGCAGGAGGTGAGCAGCTTTGCTCTCTCACAGGCTCCCCATCGTGATATACTGCCTTGCTAAATGCCTGAAAGCAAGGAGCCAATTAGCCACTGGCTGAAATTTCCAAAACTTTGAAAAAAATAATCTTTTTATCCTTATAAGTTGATTATCTCAGATATTTTGTCTCTGCGATAGAAAGTTGATAGCATATGTATGGAAGCAGACCTTTGAATGGGGGCACTGAGATAAGGTAGATTTATAGTGGGAAAACTCAGAAGAGACATTGTACCACCTTGGGCCCTGCTCTAAATTTAAAATTTCTATATCATGATGTGATAAAAGCTATCATACCTTCTGTTATTGAGCCTTACAAAAATCTTAGGTGGTAACAGTCTCATTTCTATCTTGTAAATGAGCAAAACACATTGGAAAGAAGGTAAGAAAAAATATCTAACTTTGAAGCAAAATGGGATAATATAATAGCAAAGTGAACAATGAAGCCCTTCTTTAGAAGCCATCTTGTCCCTAGAATTATTTGGATGATTGACTAATCCTGTTATTCCACAGAAAATGTTGATTTACTGGCATTGTCTAGGTCAGGGCTGGCACTGATTATTTTCTGATAATAAGTAAGTGGCACTGCAAGCCATGCAGTTAGTAACAATTGCTCAATTTTCTGTTTTGGACTGAAAGTAGCTCAGACAATACAGAAACAAACATGTGTAACTATTTTCCAATAAAGCTTTATTTACAAAATCAGGATCAGACTGAATTTGTCCTGTTCATTGCATTTTGTCAACCTTTAATCGAAATATTTCTCCTTCTCAAAAGATGGGCTTTTCAATACCATTTTGATATGGAGAGCCCCCAAATGCAGAGCTCCAAACCTGAAAAGAAGCAACAAAAGAACTTCTCAATGATTTCTACATTCATAATCCCAATCATTCAACTTTAAATTCTATGATATATAGATAACATTCTGCCATAGGATGTCATTACCTACCTATTTACTTACTCCCCAGACCCACCCCTGGTTCTGTGGCACTGCCTTTGCTATTGTGGGTTACTTTCTCTTTTTTTTACCTTTCTTCTTTTGTTTCTGACCTCTGCAAGATGTTGAGATCATTTGAAATGATAATTCTGTCCCTCAAAGCATTAGACATTATGCCCAACTTGGTGCCATGAATTTAATGAACATGCATTTTAATATCTGGGCTGTTGGCTACAGAACTGTGGAAATATAGGAAATTAAAAGTTTCCTGCAAGATATTAGAAAAATGTTTCTTGATTCAGAAAGAATATCAAATTCTTATTTAAAAGTTTGATTTAGGGATATATGTGCACATTCCAAATATTTTCATAAAATTTTTTTCCTGATAAACTTGCTCCATGTTTCTTCACAAGGAAGGATCTTTTCAATATGATATAGCATCACATATTTAAACAATGCTTTTCTCTGGAGGATGTGTAGCTTAATAAAATAAAAACAGATTAAAAACAAAGGCTTATAATTTGAAGATTTTTTTGGACAATCCCATTATATTCTATCTTAACAAGATATGTCACTATGGTAGTATTAAATATCAATTTGGCATTAAACATACTAGGCCACCAAGGCATGCTCACAGAGAAACAGTTACAATAAATAAGAATAAATTTTTCAATTGTTTTCAGTTACTTAAAGTGAGCTTTGTGCCTTTGTGTTACTCATAATTTTTCTTTTGCTTTTTTCCCTCTATAATGTAAAGAATATATTACGATGTGTATTTGAATTCTCTTTCCTATATAATGTTCATTAGGTGTAACATTTCACTTTATTGTTCTTCTTTGATTTGGGTTTATATAAATCTAGAACTAGAGCAATCATTTATTTTTTAGAATTTCTTTCTTACATTTGAAATCACAGTTCTGGTACCATAGCTAGTGTTCTTAATGTTATATCACTATCTTATTTACCTCCTTTGGGTGTTTTTGAACAAGACTTGTTCAGAAGAACAGGTGAGAAGTGAGAGCAGGGAATAACAGGACCTGAGAATAATTCTTTTCTGTTTTATTTTCCCACATTTTATAGGTGCATTATAATTATACATAATGGTGGGATTTGTTGTTACATTTTTGCTCATGCACATAATAGTTTAATTTGGACAATATTGTTCCTCAGTATTTCCCTCTTTTCCTTCCCTCCTCTCTTTCCCCCTGGTCCCTTTCCTCTATTTTACTGGTCTCCCTTCAGTGTTCATGAGATTCCCCTGCCACCTTTCTTTTACTTTATATGACCCTCGACTTTATGAGTTTAGCTTCTGAAAATAATTATTTTTATCAGCAATCATAGACACATCGACCTAAGGGATATAGGCCAGATTAGGAGGAAATTATGATTGATGCCAGGGTGGGGAAAATGGGTAGAGGTAGATAATAAACCACATTTATTTGTCTTTATTTGGTGCTTCATGATATTTTGAAACCCCAATTTTGCTAACTCTGAATAATATAATGAATGAATTTTAGGTTGATTTGAATTGTTTTATCATAATATTCTTTGAAATGTCTCTAAAAGGGGTGAATTTTTCATTTCTCTGAAAGACTTATTTACTTGGGGCAATAGAGCCACTCAGCTCAGGTCCGGAATACCTGCTTGAGTCAGGTAGCTTTGCTTTGTTCTGTAAAGACTAGGCGCTTCTGTCATCCATCCAGACACATTGCAGAGGTCCGTCACTAGGTAAATCAGGTGCTAACATACAAATGCAAACTGTGCAAGTCCATTTCCACAGGGGGGAAACAGTACAGCATGGAAGTGGGTTATTAAATAAACCTTGTATACAAAATATTTAAAGCATACAATAATATATAAAGAAAAATCATTTGAAAGATAGGTTTTCTGCTCATTTCATTCATTAACTTAACAAAGCAACCACAGCAAAAGAGGATAGTGTTGCATCAAATCAAAAGTTTGTGAAAATTCCTGAATTAGAAGGAAATCTTCTAGATAAGTGTTGTTAGGTGCATGCCTGGTATTTATTTGCCTTTTGGTGATAATTACAGTTATCACTATTACTATTGTGGCTATTACTACTGTTTTATTCCTAAAGATAAATTTATTTTCTCATCCTGCTTTCTTTACCATCAGCTTGGCTTTCAACCCTCACATCGTTGTTCTCCATTTCATTTGCAATATAACCAGTGTACACCCCAGTTCTTATTTTCTGTTGGAGGCAGTCTCTTTGCTTTTCCATTAAATTCAAATTTGGATCTCATATTCTAGATTTTTTATATTTCTTCCTTCTTTCTACCTCTCCTATTTCTTGGATGGAGCCTACGAATATATGCAATTGGTATAGTACATTTCCATTATGCATTTTCTATAAATGAGACCCTGGCAAGGTGCTATGAGTAAGTAGAAGACAGCATTTCTAGAATATACCCTAGAGATTACACTAATAAAAAAAGAAATCACTGCATATCACTACACACTTTTTAAAACTCATAACACTTACAGGCACTGATCTTAGCTTCATGACTCAAACTGTTTAGATGACTTAAAAGCTGTACTGAAATAGAATTTCTAATTTTTCCATAAAGTATTCATGAGGATCTATACTGTGACTCAACTCTAAGTCACTGTTTCCTCACCTGTAAATTGTGGGGGAATGGGCTAGATTAGAAAATTTTCAAACTTTTTTTTTAAAGTACTTTGGAATTAAAGGTCTTACTTAGTACCCAACATATGAAACAGATCCAAGCAAAGCATTCCCTACTGATGAGGAAGGGTGCTCACTCAGCACGCCCTTGGTCCAGCCTCCTTGATGACTTTCTCAGAGCTCTTTAGGTGCTGCCTTGGAGCACAGCTTGGAAATCCAATGGTGCAGATGACATCCAGAGTTCTCCAAATCTGAATTTAAATGTCAGCTATGGCCTTCCATCCTGGCTAATACAAATAAGAGGTACTGAATATGTATTAAACTATAGAAATGATTTGCATTAAGAGGCACCAACCTGTATCTCCAGCACTTTTTTTTAACTAGTTTTTGCAGCAACAGAAGGAAATATTCTTTACTCGTTCTGTTCAACTGACTTCTAGCCTTTTATAAGACTGAAAACTCAATCCCTTGTTAGTTCTCATTTACATAATGTTAAAGGGCACACATTGGAGTCCCAGAGGATAAGTAATTTAATGTTTATTTGGCTTTATTCAAGCAGATATTAAGTAGTTATTACTTAAAAACAAACAAATGTTAACTATTAATAATATAGAAAGTAAGGTAAAGAATTAGCAGCCTTAAGAAAAATTAGTCAATAGCCTACTTAGACAAAGAATCATTAAATAAATATTTTAAATTCATTTTTTTTATTTAATAATGCTTCCACAAATATTACATTGAGGTTTCCAGAGATAAAATTAATGCTTGATAATCACCCAGCCCCCAGTTCAAATAAGACATTAGATTAAAAAATTAAATTAAATTAAGAAATTAGAAATTTAGAAAAACTGAAGACCATTTTTATTATATACAAATAAAAAAATTCTAAGTAAACGACTGAACATTGCAGGGAGAAGCATTTCTCTTAGGAAGTAGAAAGTTTTTTTTTTTTCACAGTTTAGTTTGAGA